TCTGGTTTTAGCATGAAGGGAATTCCAGCATTTCTTACAAATTTCATTAGCTATATGAAATGTTAACTTCATTTATCTTAAACTGCTTAAAATATGAAAGAATATTATTAACACTATTGTGTTGCACTAAGCATTAACATTAGAGTTAATTTGTTGATTAATTAAATGTACCCAAAGATAACACATCCAAATCATTTAGTGAGATTCAAATGACTGTATATATTCCAGCTTAGCATACTAACTACTGAAATGATTTTCAGATGCTGATAAAAGGAGATTCTGAACAAATTTTATAATATACATTTTCATGCTATAGAAAAAAAATAGTTACACAGATTGAAATTTATACTAACTTTTTTTTTTTAAAATAATTCCGCCCCAAGTAAGGTAATAAAAGTAACTAAAGATGCAGGAGGTTACTGACAGTGAAAGAAACAGAGAGGGCAACAAAAGAACAGGATTCAAGCAGATATAAGGTGATGATTGACATTGCATTTAACTTTTTGAAGATCAAAGCTGGCAGCAAAGCAGGAAGCCAGAAGAGAGTTCTACAAGCAAGAAGTGCGAAAGAAGAAATTGTTAGCATAGAACTTACAGTTACAACTAGCAATTTCAACAGTGTAACTCCCAATCTGGTACTGTGCTTAAATTTGTAAAGTTTAAGTACTAACTAGGAAAGCTTACCAGAATAATTACCATGAAAATTTCTAGTATCATTTAGGATCATCTCTTGCCTGGCAAAGTACAGCAACTGAACATAGCATTGATTCTACAAGTCTTTAAATCTCTGGAGAGATGGTCAGCCATGTTGTTTCAATAACTGCACACATTTCCTTGATATTTATAGGTGCAGGATTTTGCATATGAATAAACCTCTCCACCATGTCTCTCAAATGCTCAAATGGGCTCATGATTAAACTATTCAAAAATATCAAGAATACTCTATAAACCAATTCTAAACAATTTAGGCATGATGATATCGCACATTATCTTGCTGGAATAACTCACCAGGGGCAAATGGTCATAGTCACCAGTCAATGACATGTTAATGCAGACCAGCAGGATCACCCACACCATCATGGAAATCAGTCTGCATGGTGTTTTTTTTTTAACATGGGTCCATGGCCTCATAGATCTGCACCATGTCTGAACCAGACCAATAACTAGAAACAATTGGAACTATGACTCATCAGACCATGCCACATATTGTAAGTCTTCAAATTAGAAGCATCATAAACCCAAGTGAGGTGTCATGGTGTTGATGGGGGTATCCTGATTGGCTTTTTGCTCCCCTATTCCATGGAAATTAAAGAAAACTGAACTGGCTTGCTGGATAGGAATCTGGTAACTCCTGCACTGAATGTGGATATGCTTTGAACCTGTGTTGCTTGTATGTTGCCACAGAAAATTCAAGATGAATGTTGGTGGTCATGATCATCATGAATCATTGTTGGTCACTGTGCTGTCCAAGGTGGCCAATAATGCCTTCCATCAGGTATTGCTGGTACACATGACTCTGTAAACTGAAGAGTGTCAAATGTTCTGACAATTTCAGAAATGGAATGTACCCACTATCATAACCACTTGTCATAAGCAGCCTAGTTGGTGTTCACATTGACTCAATAGATATCAGAGCACAACTGATAGAGGTGTGGGGCATTTTTATATCATCAAGGAACAGTGACACCATCTATTATCTTTACATACTGCCATCCCATGACTTTTGACATGGCAGTATATATATTTCAGTCACAGTTATACATTTTATTGGACTAGAAGGGTATCTGGGTCGTATGTGAAATTCTAGTTAAGTAATGTTTTACTAACCCAAAACTATAAATGTCATCTCAAACCAACTCGTAATTTACTAAAAATTGCCATGTTTCATGAAAGTACAGTATTTAGCAGCTTTACTATATATACTCAAATATAAGCTGACTTCATATATAGTGCAAACCCTGAATTTTAACCTCTCCAGAAAAAAGACTTGAGTATAGTGCAACCACTTATTTTTTGCATAAAAACTGATCATAAAAAATCACACACTATACTTGAATATATATACATGGTTCATATATTCAGTTTGTTGGTTTAGAGCATTGAAAACAGAATATTGTGATGAACCCTCAAGCACATGAACTCAAGAACAGTATGAGATTAATATTAACATCTTTGTTGTTTTTATCACAATAGTTTGACATGCCAACTCTTAAGTCTCCCTCATTGAATAATTATACTGCCTTATCTCAGTAATTCCAATAGAATTTGAAAGTTTATAAAATTTCAAAGATATATTTATAAACTAAATATATAATTAGGTTTTACAATAATTGGCTATTTCTTAATGATTTTACTCTACATTCTCACTGAACAAAGTCTTTGATTCAATTTTAATCTGAATATAAAATAAATATGTAAATTTGTCTAATATTTCATTTTTACAAAAAAAACATCTTTTTCAACACAGCTGAGATCAAGGAGAGACTGTTGAAATGACCAACATGTTAAACACAAGTGCAGACAGGGTGAATTTTATTTCAGTAGAATCTGTTTTTCTCTTTTCCTAAACATCCAGCTAACACAAGCAGTCACAGCCATTTTCTCACTGAAATCTCATTCATCCACCTCTACAGACAAGAAACAATTCCAGCTTAGACAGCTTGTTACTACTTGCCACTATTACTCAACAAGTAACTACCTTACAGACTTAATTACACAAATCACTTTTTCAATGCAGCAATTTCCTCCTACCTTACTATCCCAAGGTCAACCATGAGAGTATTTTAATTGAATATTTTTTTTAAGAAGCATGAAACTCTTAGAATTTCTCAACTTATATCAGCTTTTATAATCATCTCTAAAGAAAAAGAAAACACTATTTAACTTCTTTTCAGATAGACAAAGAAAAAGAAAAAAGAATTAAATCTTTTTAAAACTAAGTAATTAGCTTTATGAGAACAAATTTATTGAATCAAAATAATCAAGAAAAAATCATGGCACTGTGTACAATACTAATTATGTACTCAAGTATAAAGTGAATTTTTATGATCATTTTTTTTTTTTTTTTTTACACAAAAATAGGGTGATCACACTATACACAAGAGGGTAAAAGTCATGCATTTTCAGTGGCCATTACACTATACACAACTTTTTTCTGGAGGGTTTAAAATTCATGCCAAAAACTTCAGGGTTCTCAGCTTATATATGAGTATATACAATATAAGTTTGTTAAATCAATTACTTGTATTGTTTAAGAAAAGACAAAAAATTAAAACTCTTCCTTAACATCATATTTATTATCTACATTCAGATTAATGTCCGCATCTTTGTTGTTACTATCACAACATTTCAGACAATAGCTGACAGGATTAAAGTGTTGGCTAGTGAATTTGGTGACATCTGTAATTGTGAGTTCAATCCCAGGACCAGGTAATACAGATAGACTCAATGGAAACAGGACTAGTAATAACTACAAAGACAATTAATCAAGATGAGATATTCATAATGGACAGCAAAAAGAGAACAATCTATTCCTGTAGATTGAATAAAGGGTTCAGTTCAAAATATCCTGAAGATTATTATCTAGATCAACAAACATCTGAAGAAAGCCAAAGGGCACAACAACTGAAATGTGATTACAACAAAGATGATAATATTAGTCGACATATAAATAATGAGAATTCCTCATCCTAGAAATTCTGACAGAAACTGTTATATTATTTGTTCAGTGTTCAAAATTAAAAATCTATCAATAAGAAAATCTGTTCTAGTCCTTCTCATCTTTCTTCTATGAATATTCTTTGAGAGAGAGAGAGAAAACGTTAACAATCAGATTCATATAGAAACCCTTCTCTCTCATAAAACAACTTCCTAATCATACTTATTATAAAACCCAGGTTGTGTGTGTGTGTGTGTGTGTGTGTGTGTGTCTTTACATTTATATATTGGATCAGATTTCCTACATTTTTCAACTGATTTCAACAAAACTTCACAGGACTACATAAAATTACCTTGCGGTGGTTCTGACAGCACCAAAATTTTGAAAAACACAATTGTTTTTGCACGAAATCAATTTGAAAACACGATTAAGAGGCATTGCTTTCACGGAATGAAAGGGGGACAACTCATATTGAGTTATACTTATAAAAACCCAGGTTTTGTGTGTGTGTGTGTGTGTGTGTGTGTGTGTGTGTGTGTTCATTTATATATGGGATCGGATTTCCTACATTTTTCAACCGAATTCAACAAAACTTCACTTTTTTTTTTGGCAGGTAGTGTTTCTTGTTGTCTTGCACACTTTTTTCTTTATTTTTACATTCAGAATGCTTTAAAAATTCCATTTACAAGACAATTGTTTATAATAAAATTCTATTCAATTGGTAGACTCATAACGATTGAAAACAATGTTTTTGTTAGAGTTTAAAAAAAAATAAAAAATAAAAAATAATTAAGACATGCGTGTCCATCCAAACTTAAACAATAATCTTTGTCAATTTTATTTTTCAGTCTTTATGATGGTCGATACTTGAGCTATCGCTTACTATTACATCCGCGGGCAACGCCAGGCTCTACTGCTAGTAGACCTATATAATATAAAGCCCTCTCCATATGCAGAGTTATTTCAGATCAGCCAATGAACAATGAATAGTATCATCCAATAAGAAAGAATTTAACTGTCATTAAATGAAATGAGCCAATCATCAAGGGTTTATTTACCTCAAAACAGCCAGTATATCACATTATAAGAAATAAGAATAATTATTAGAATAAACAGCTGGAAAAAATTGCAATCTAGATCATGCTCCTTTTTGTGCATTTTTATAAGAATGCCATTTTATTAAGTATAAATATTACATTGATCAAAAACATCTGTATTTTACTTCAAACTACTACAGAAGACAATAGTTATTCTTCAAGTAACACACACACACATCAGGTGCAAGATATAGATATGAAGTATTAAAAGTCTTCATTTCATTATCAATAAATAATCTACTTACCCTCAAACCATTTGAAGGCAAATTAGGTCCAAAGCTGGCAGGATAGTCCTCATATGTTCTTATTGTTGCATTATAGATATCTGTCTGTAATCAAAACAAAATACAACAACTTACTCCAGTCTGATAAAACAGAAAAATCACACAAAAAATGATTACTTAAAAAAGAAAAAAGTATTAGAAAAAAGTGAGCAAATTCTATTTTCTATGTTAAACTTAAAATCTTATATTTAACATCTTTAAAATGTAAATCACCTACTAAGATATATAATCCTAAACTGGTTTTATTAAGCTTCTTCTAGAATTTAAGATTAATGGAAAAAAAACATGAAACTTTTCAAGTTTCTATTACAAATTAGAAACTTGATCTTTATTTTCATTGTAATATGTCAAGTTTGTGAAAAACTGTATAAACATTTTTCCTATGAAAAAATAGAAAAAGCATATATAGCTAGGCATTAAATACACTATGAGCATATAACTTCTTTAGTGAAAGCATGAAATAATTCTAAAGTAAACTGAAGTGAAAAAAAAAATTAAAGAACAGTATACTGATTTATTTCACCTGTTACCAACTTCTAGAAATTAACTTTAGCAGCTAAAATATGTGCTATGATAAAGAGGTAGTGTAGCAGTGACAGGCATGGTACGAAGCCAGATCTTGTTTCAGCCCTTTATACTTGTCATATTTCCTGATGATGACATCCTACTCCCTAAGCTGGTTCCAGAAACACTAGTCTGACTTCCAGGTACTGTACTGATCACTAGATTTAAACTGTAATTTTCAGATCTCACTAAATTCCCAGTAGCCACACTCAAATACAACTCAGTTATAGACATCCATGGAATATGCCTTCATGTCATATCATGTAGCCACCCTTATTCTGGTAAAGGGAGGAACTACACATTCTTAGGTAGTTGTTTAATATTTGAGGATTTCAATGTATAAACAGCATTGCAATATGTACATCAGAAAAACTAGTAAATCAAGTAGTAGTACTATCCAACTGTACCATACAGCTTCACAAAATTTTAATAGTGAATATACTCAAGACTGGACAGTAAGTTTCCTTTCACTTTCTATCTTACTAACAATGATACCGTTGACAATAGAACTGGATGTGAATAAAATTAGACAAAAAGAAAACCATTGTGTTTATGTCATAAGAATTTGTAGTTAGCTTTTCAATTGACAGAAAATCATATTGCAGTGTTTTAATGTTGATTTACTATGGTAAGAAAAAATAAGAATCTATCAAATTGTGTACTTGACATTATAGCAAATTCATTTTCAAGATGAATAGTAAAGCGGTTTTATTGCATCATAGAGTAATTGTTCTTATTTTCCAAGTAGACAATCTTTCTGAGTAGATGCTTTAAGACTGATTTTGTAGATTCTGATGCATATTTGAACAGTACCATGCACAACTCCAATCAATATACAATCTTCAAACCAGCCACCTTCTGTGTGTTCTTTATTAAATTGATTTTGATTAATAAACTATAAACAGCCTTTTGGTTATAAAACTTTCAGTATAAGAAGGAGCAATTTAAACTCCATAACAAATACCTTTTATATTTTTAACCTATCCCCAACCCACATGATTATAAAATAGTTATGATGATTTGGTACAAATTACAAATTTCATCCCAAATTTGCCAATGAAAGAAATTTTGCAATTCTGATAATTATAAGAAATGTATGTATCCTATTTATCACAATTTAAATATTATTAATTATTATAGTTAATGAGAGAATGCCAAATTAAATACATTCATATAAATAAATATTAAGAAAAAATCCTGCTTTGACATAATTTATACCAAGAGTAGATTATTTCAATTTTAACTTTCATATGGGTACAATATCAATGTAACTAAGACAATAAAAGCAATATCTGTACAAAAAGTAAATTAAAGTATATGTTTTTTATACCACTCTCAGCATATAAAATACATAGTATGTTTAAAGAAACAACTTCTGAAGAATGTAAGTACTAAAAGCAATGAATACTATGTCAAACTACTCAATAGAAATCAACAATGAGATGGAATTTTGCTAAAATTTTAAGATGCAAATTTTATTAAACAATACATTCTTAAGGAGAGTGTTTTCACTACATTATACAGTTTTTTTACATTGATAGAAAGTTAATAAGCCTCTTTAATTTACAGTGAATGAAATATCTGTGCTTGAATAGAAATAATGACACTTGTTCAGATAAAATTTTTAAAACACTAAATCCCAATCATACTTTCAAGACATCACTTTTATATAGAACAAGTAAAAAATAACTACACATAACCTATACTGTACCCTATTATATTACTTAAGTCCTACTAAAATGTAAAAGGTTACAATTAATACTGGTCAGATTTTTTTTTAAATAAATAAAAATTTACAAAAAGCTTTGTCAATAGACAATAATAATGTATACACATTGCAAATGAGAAAAGACATGATCATAATTAAGAAATATCAATGCTATAACTACATTGTAAGTTATTCACAAATTTGACATATGGACTATATAACAATAAGGACAGTTTCACAAAAAAAAAAAAAAAGTGTATTTCTGGAAAATAACACTTTTAAGGCAAGCAGTCTTTGTAATCATAGTGTCCAATATCAATAGATAGAGCATTAATAATAATTATTAAAATGAAATGTTCTCTTATCTTGCTCTTATTCCGAGTTTCATGAAGATTGCATCCTCTCGTCAGGAGATTAATTGTAAAATTAGATTTATTTTCAGAAACCATTTTTCTGAGAGAAAGGAAGAAAAATATGATTACATCCCAATTCACATATAATATATATGTGCGTGCGTGTGTGTGTGTGTGTGATTAAAAAAGGAACAAGCAGAAAGTCTTTAGAAAGAGTCAAAATATAGGTAAACATTAGCAAGAACAAAATTATTTAAAAAGATCAAGGGCAAAATGATCACAACTTCCTACAAAAAAAAAAAAAAAAAAAGCAGTAAATTGTAATACCCCCCTGAAAAGTGGATGCACAGGTCTGCCTATGAAACTCTGAAGTTGGAATGCTGAAGGTAACATCAATCAGCTAAGTGACAAACTTTTACTCACATTATATATAATTATAAATTTACTAATTTAAAAATATGGTTCTAACGCTACACAGGAATTACCATATATCAAAAACAAACTAAAAATTTTAAATTTAATTTTAGAATTAAATTAAAATCCTTTTTACTGTTTCATTTTCAAGCAATTTTTGGAATAACTTATTTTGAAATTTACTGAGTTTATATATAAGCACATAAATTCTTGATATTAGTTGCTAATGCCACGCATAACAAATCACATCTCTGAAAGATTGGTGTGTGTGAGTCTGTTGACATTTTGACAGGCTTTTTATAGTGAGAAATAGCTTCTTCATATTTCTTGGATTAAAAAAAAAAAAAAAAGAAACTATTCTCTTTAAACAACACTGACCAAAAAAAGCCACTCCTTTGGTATTCTAAAATAAAAAAATTCTAAAATATTATCAACTACATCCACATCCGTCAAAAGTTTTTCTAATAGAAGGTGAAGTTGTTCCAAGTACTTAACCTAAATTTAGAGGATGAGTTTATAGTTAAAAATAAATTGAGGATTATTTTTATCTAAATTTTAACTAAATGATGACATCTTTTTTGACAGAATTAGGATTAAAAGAGAGAATATATCAACTTGTGAGAGCTTTAATTTTATTGAAAATAAAAATAATTTAAAATATTTACGACAGTAATTAACAAACTTGTTTACCAATAATAGTAAAAGGGTCTGTAACATTTTTTTTCAAACAAGTACTGATAAGAATTAAAGTTGCACTAATATAGTGATAGAATGATTAAAAAATATGACTTTCAGAAAACACTTGTTAACTATCATCAGTGATAAGTCAACTAAATAGTCCTTCCAAATAATCATACAAACTTCAGATTTCCAAACTGTCACCACTGAGCTATACCAACAAACCTAAGGAGTTTTATAAAGTAATTATAAATATCAAATTATATATATATATATATATATATATATATATAAAAACTTCCCTTTTATAAATATAAAGATGAAAAGCTCTTGTATCATTTTTTAATGTATTTTATACAAGAATTGTTGGAAGTTTTTTGGCTGACAAAGAATTTTTTTCTTTTAAATCAGATGCTTGGTAAAATTTTAGAAGTGGATCAGGCCAAAAACTTTTCAGTAATCACTGAAAGAGTTTTCTCAATTATAAATTCATTACTAATAAGTAGGTCCCTAAAGATAATTGAATATATATATATCAATGCATATATATATATATATTTATATAAATATACCTAAGAATATGCTCAGATCATTTGTGAATATTTATGTTAACAATATACAAGTGCACCACCAAAACTTGTAATGATCAGATTTGCAACTGATCTCTCAAAATAACTTCTCATGAAAAAACTGGCTGGTTACATTCAATCATTTTTTGGACCTTTGAACTACCACCAATCATGAATTGGTGGGAAGTCCTTTTGGCTCAATAAAACCCAAAAACATCTTTTTCTTTTAAATAACAAATTATTTTCCAAATTTCTCACAGGTGGATGTATCAAGTCTCTCCCTGCTCTTTTCTTCTATCACTCAGATGAAGACATTCCTTTTCTGCCAGACTAAATTCATTAAGAACTTCCATGCCACTCACATTGTAGCCAATCACCTACATTCCCTCCATATTCCATTTATGAGAAGTTCCACTCAAACAAATTCCTCCTGCAAACCACTGCTCAGTGAAACCAACTCCCAAGAGGATATTTTCTGATGGCTACAATCTTAACCTGTTCAAGTCTAGGGTTAACCATTATCTTCCTCTCTTATCTGCATAAATTACCTCTTACTATATCCCTCTACCTCAAGTGACCCCCAAGCTTTATATAGGGTGAACCCCCACTGTATAAAATAAAAAATCTCTTGTAAGAATACAGAACCTCAAAACTTTGTCCAAAGATTGGATAATCATCAAAATCTTCATGGTATTATTAAGAGAAAAGACCAAAGAATTTTTAGATTAAATTATATTTTTAATACTATTTAGAAATTTC